ACAAGAAGCTGGGAGGGGGCACAGCTGTGACAGCTGACTCAGACTGGCCAAGGGGTTATTCCATACCATATGACATCATGCTCAGTATATGAATGGGGGGAGTTGGCCCGCGGGGGCAACGATTGCTGCTTGGGGGACGTGCTGGATATTGGTCGGCAGGTGGTGAGGAATTGTACAGTATCACTTGCTTTGTATTACTATTGTACTATTATTACTTGTTATTATTATTATTGTTATTATTACTATTACTACTGTTCTATTTTCATTTTACTTTAGTTATTAAACTGTCCTTATCTCAACCCATGAGTTTTCCCCTTTTGCCCTTCCGATTCTCTCCCCCATCCCACCGGTGGGGGAGTGAGCGAGCGGCTGCGTGGTGCTTAGTTGTTGGCTGGGGTTAAACCACGACAAAGACTTACACAAACAGTTCTCCGATAGATGATTCACTTAGTTACAGGCAACTTTGTCCAGATATAACGTACAAAAGTGAGCCACTTACTCCTCATAGCCTATTGTTTACATGAATGAAAATCTAACATCTTTTTTAAGAATATTAAAGGAAAATAAAATCCACACTGAAATATAGGGCTTGATAACTAAATCTGGCCTACCTGTACCCACAGCTGGGCCTGAAAGGAGGCCATTTGAGTTGATTTGCTGAGTTGATTCTTCATTACCTGAAGAATGTAATAGGGCTATTTTTTTTCCTGCTTTGCACTGAATCACAAAGAGTTGTCCTAACAGCTTGAGTCTGTTGCATTATGCCACTACTGCAGCCACAACTTTTCCCAGTTACTCCCACCTCTGATATACCCCTCAGCACTTGAATTTAAATTTTAGACACAGCTCAATAGTTTAAATCAAGAAATGCAGCTCTGCAAAGGCACAGAAAGCCAGCTATGCACTTGTTGAACGCCCTTCCCAATACAGCAGACAGATTATTCTCCTGAACACTTCTCTCCTGTGCGTCCCCATCCCCACTTTGACACCGCAGCTCTCCTTTCAGGGTGGGATGTCTCTACAGAAATAAGTCCTTTAGGACAGAGAATGAAAAGCACTATCCCAAAGCAACGCAGTTCTAGGACACTGAGCTGTAGCAGCAAGTGCCAGCAGAGTCACCCCTATGAGGACCCTCGGTACTTTCTCTTGACTGCGTAACAAATTCCTTACATTGGCACATTTCAATCCACCTCCTATGGAGCCCAGCAGAGGACCTGGGGGGAATGCAGGACAAGCAGGGACCTGTTTGGGCACTGCTGCTTTCCTTGGCACCAAAGAACATGCTCTTTTCACCTTCTGCACCTTCCTAGTCACCTGTGCCCCCCCTGCTGAGCAGCCGACTCAGCCAGGCCTTGTGTCTCATATCCTGCCTTTGTGAGGGAATTATCTCCCAGATCAAGGCCCTCGACGTCTTCCCTGTTTGTAAACTTCCCTGGGAACCAGGGAACTAGCTAAGATTATAAACATCGTATTAAGTATTCCTTCAGTCTGGGGTACTCCGGATATGATTTGAAGTTCTTGGTTTCATTTTATATATATATATAAGCCAGGTTTTTTTTTCTGCTGGTGTAGATCTACCTACAGTTATGCTGGCAAGGAGCACAGCCCATCAATCTTGTATTGTATACAAGTCGGGCACTTGAAATGAGCACAAAACCTGCCAGGTAAATGGGAAGTTCACTCTTTTTTGCATATTTTCAAGGTTAGTCTCCCACACCATCTTCACAGACTTTGTACAATTCCCTTCTCATTTGTTAGTGTGCAGAGAAGAAGAAAAGGGGACCTTATTCTAAACTTAAATATTGAAGCACAGATGCTTTCCTAATTAATCTATATGGTTTGTGCCAAGAAATCATAAAGTTTGAGTTTGGTACATTGCTGCCCCAATTAAAATATCAAGGCTCCCTTCCAATACGCTGCTCTTTTAGAGGTACCAAGCACCACATCCTATTTATCTTCCTGTGCTGCACTGCTGTAGGAAGTCCCACAGAAATCAGTTGTAAAAATGCCATTCGTTTCCACACAGTTAACATAAACAAGTCAGCGCAGATTACAGATTGACTAATTGAGTTGGTAAGCTGCTCTGAACACGCTTTCAGAGACATACTGATGTATTTTAGCACTCCAGCATCTGGGGTGACTCTATCAAAAATTAAAAAGGCCCTACCTATTCCAAGGTTGTTACTCCATATAAATGCAAACAGCAGTTAATTAAGTCACCTTTGACAATTTCATTACCGTTCTAATCATGCTTGAGTGCTATTCAAAATTTTGAGTGGAGCAGGTTCACTATTGAAAATAGACACTCACACATATATAAGCAAATTAATTACTTGAAATCAATATGTTGCAATTCTTAGGGCTGTGCCATTCATTTTTTAGAAATACTCAGGTACCGAGTATCCAGGACAATATTTATGAACTTCAGAAGTTTAGCAATTTTGTATCAAAAATGTGGTGGGTTTCTCTCCATCATTTTTCTGTTAAAATGTTTCAGTTATCCAGTCAGAGAGCAGAAGCAATGGGATCATCACATGCTAGGAATTATGAATAACAAATAGCAGTTGTAGCATACAGTTTGTGAACCATCCTTCCTGTAAAAATTGTTCACTCAAACTATCTGGTGAATATTTATGCATTATAAATACGTTCACAGATCTCAAGGATGATTCACTTCTGACATGTGAATCAAGAAACAAGACTAAATTAATCTTGTTCCCAATTCACTTAATAAAATTAAACCCTGCCAAAGCTCTTTGATTTATAAAGCTCTCAGGATATAATGTTTTGTGAGACAGTTACCCGAGACACTACCTCTTTCCTCGTGCAGCACCACAGAAGGAGATACTGAGTGGCTTGCTGGAACAGACCGACACTACAACTCATCATTTTTAGTGAAAGCACTTTAATGGACAGGTCCAGTAAAGGAGCATGCATTTCCCCAGTTAGTCTGGCAGAGTTTGAGGCCTGTTTATTTAACCTAATTCTCATGTTGAGATAGAGAGCAAGAGTTGATATTAGTTCATTCTGATATTAGTTTGTTTTCATTTTTCAATTTATGGAAATCTTTAAAAATTATATATGTGAATCCTGTCCTTGGCAAATATGACTCAATGCCCTTAGTAAATGAAATGAATGCACAAATAATGCGGACTCTTGTAATGACACAAAGTTACATTTGGGCATCTTTATCCTCTGCTCATGATGATGTAATAAGCTCGGGTCTCAATTATAATAAAAGTTAACACCAAATGAAACGACTGTGTAGGCTATTGAATCTGCACAAATAGTTCTCACAGAAGAGCCACTAGTTGTCTTTCATGCTGTTCACAACAAACAAATTTCTTATCTAACCTGGAATCACGGGATTCTTACGATAGTAAATATTATACTTGGCATGTATTTGTGGGATGATGACTTGACGTATTTATAGTTGGCAGCATTCCTTATACTTGTATATTGTTCTACAAAGTTTGTGACCTATACCTTTGAACAGCTTACTGAAGTAAAACAAAATAGAAAGATTAATGAAAATATTACTTTTCTAATGCTTTCTAAAAGAGAAGACCAAGTATCAAAATGGCTGAGGTGACAGATTGAAATTAATTTAGACAGTTTGTGTTTGTTCACCCTGAAATATCACTCCAAGCCTTACAAAGCACACCCAGATGACTGGTGTCTTCCTTCATATATCTATCTTAAGGTCTATACTGCCAGGAACAAATTATAAGACATCTTGCCCAGAGCTTATCCCACAACAAACCATCTGAAATAGCCTATAAATAAAATATATGTGAAGGGACTCATAGATACATAGTAAAGATTGTTATATACCTGAAAAAAAACAGTAATGGAAAACCAGCTATTTCTTAGAGCTAAAATGTAAGATGTGGGTATCAGAAACCAGGAGTTACCACACATTTTTGGTGACCTCTGACGAAAAATGGCTGACACGACTGCAGGTTGTTTTTAAGGTGAAGAACACCGTGTTCAGGGTGACAGGCCACCTCAGGGCCCTGCGTGCAGCCCCCACCGGCCCCATCCCGCTCGGGCCATGGGGAGAGGTGCCCATGTGCCCTGGCCAGGGCAGTGGATGGGCCCTGGCTGGGAGTCCCTGCCCTGCCGCCCTGGGGGAGCCCCCAGTACTTCAGCGGCTGGAAACAGCTGGGCAGGTGGATCACGATCAACTGCTGACCGTGCCTGGCACTATCACTGCCCTGTGCATGGAAGTTGGGCCATCCAAATCCAGGCAAGCACATACATTTTAAGCACCTTGGGAAAGTGCAGTAAGTGTTTCATTAGTTCTCTGTAAGAAAAGAAAGTGTTACATTTGTGCCACTAACCACAAAAGCTATTTATAGCTATTTTAAGGCAGTGGATGAACTGGTTAGGCCAAGCAACAACATGCAATTAAAAATCTTAGAAATAAGCACTTCTCTCTACTCAGTTGGTTTATGCAGGTGTGAAAGCTGCCCTCTCAACACTTCTCTCATTGTACCTAGTAGCTTTCCAGCCTTTTGAATTTAGGATATTTACAAGTTTTCATACCATTAAACATTAAGTATACTTCATCTGCAGCAATAAACTATAAGGCAAGTTCATTCATATGCTGAAGTACAGCACGTCATTTAGCAAGGTTGTGGCAATACCTTCTAAGTCTTCTTTAAGACTTCATCCATTTAATAACAATTAATTAATACAGAGTTATTAGAGAAATTGTCAAACCATTATAGAAAGAATAAATTCCCTGCTTGCACCAATGAGAAAATCTCTATTGAAGTCAATGGATCTGGTCCTTATCACACAAAAAATGTGATTTCTAAACTGTATGTTTTCATACATTATTGAAAGATCTCTGAAATAAATTTGAGGATGAGGGTTGCAATACTAATCCAGCTGGAAAAAACACAAATTGCATGCCATGTGACTAAGCCCAAACAATTCACGCTTTTAGAGACTGACGTTCACTTTTAGTTGGTTGGTTGGGTGGTTTTACTTACTGCTTTATACGTTCTCTTTTGTCCAGCATGTTTTCTGATTTGTTCTCCATTAGGCCCAGTTTCAACATGCATGGAATAGATAATGTCAAAGAAATCTTCTACCACGGCTACCCGCCGTAAAGACAGCTTCTCATCTACACCTACTCCATCCTGAAAAGAAAAAAAGATAAAAGAAAAAGTAAGGAAAACAGGATGAATAGATAAATTATGACAATCATGGGATGCGGTCTCCTTTTTAGCAAGGAGTTAAAGACCCTTCCCCTGAGATCTGAAGGTCACCCACCCTGTGAATGACAGAAACAGTATTGTAGGAAAGCTGTATGATCAGACAGATCATATGGACCCTTGCAAGAGGTCCCTTTTGCCAAGCCAGGGCATTCGGTCTCTTGATAGAAAGTCATCTTTCACTCCCGTATTTAAAAAATGAAACAAAAAGTATCTGTGCTGCTTTCTCCAAATGCACAAACAAGATTCAAAGGCAGAGGCAGTCCCAAACACATGGCACAGAAATGCATTACGCAGCTGTTGTTAATAAGAACGCAACAGCTCTTTTATCCTCTCATTCCCCTCCCAGTAAATCTGTACCTAGCATTTCATAAAGGTATTTAATGAAAGGTTTTAATTCACAGGTGACAGAGCTGACTGAAATTATGAATACAAAGGAAGTTGTTACAAACAATTTACACCTGAAAAACCTGATTGAAAATATACTACATAAAGACATATCACAATATGAGGAAAAGAAAGGGATATTTTTTAAATTTGTGATTTTTGTACACAGATGTCTGACTGGAACAAGTGACAGAAAAGTGAGGACACCTACCATCTGATTTTCAAAAGTGATAGTGCTATGGTAGCTAAAGACTTCCAAAAGAGAAACAGTCCCCAGTGCCTCTGAAATTAATCAGTGCAGTTCAATTCCTGCCTTTTAAATAGGACCATCCATATGAGGGTTTTTTTTGGTTTACAGCTGTCTATGGGTTCAGTTCTAATGAAGGGGCAGGAACTGGGACTCTTGTTTTTCCAGAGCAGGCATCTACCAAGCAGGATGTGTTTTCTAATACAACATAAGTATATGAAGAATAAAATGAAAATGAAAATGGCCAATTCACTTTTACTCCAACACAGCATTTGAATTTAGACCTCTGGAGACAACAGTGTCACCTAACCTTCAATGAGTATTTTAAGCAATGAATGCACTCAAAACTTAAAACGTTTGTTAATACCACTACTGCTGCTGTAATTCATGCCGCAACAAAACTGATTTATACTGACCCCTCTGTGACAAAACATGTGCAATTATTGCGGCAGTGACCAAATAAGACCAAAGATGAGAAATGACAGGGCAATAGTTAGGTATGACTTCCAGTTGTCACCCCCCTGCTAATAACTTCTTGCTAATCATAGAATCATAGAATCGTCAAGGTTGAAAAAGACCCTTAAGATCATCGAGTCCAACCGTCAACCTA